GAGCAGCTCTCTCACAAGCATGTGATTTGTTGTCTGCTGGAGTTGATACTTCTTCTAACACAGCAGTGTTTCTACTCCATCATATTGCCAAGGAACCAGAACTGCAGCAAGCATTGTATGATGAATTTACTAGTGTTTGTGGTTTAAATGGAATACCTGACTTCAATGATTTCCAAAGGATGCCTCTAGTCAGGAATTGTATCAAGGAGACACTACGACTTTATCCAGCAGCACCAATTATAAGACTGGCTCAAACAGATATGGTCGTTCATGGCTACAAAGTTCCAAAAAACACTTCAATAGTTTTTGAGCTTTTTTTGATTGGAAGAGATCCAAAACTCTACCCTAATCCAGAGCATTTTAATCCTTATCGTTGGGAGGGAAAGAAGGAGCAAGATGGCCTAGTTACATTTGGTAGTCTCCCATTTGGTGCTGGTGTCCGAATGTGTTACGGAAGGCGTTTAGCTGAGCTAGAGCTTCACCTTTTGTTGGCTAATATTTGTAGAAGATTTGTCCTCTCTACTGACCAGTCTTCTTCACTTGAACTAATAAAGTTAACACTTTTAAGATCAAAAGGTCCTGTTAGACTTCATATAAAAGAAAGGGAGCATGTCTAATAACACTCCTTCATATTTTGTCTCTTAGGCCCCTTACTTACTTCTTTTTATAATAATAATAATAATAATAATAATAATAATAATAATAATTGTTTTCTTTTTGTCTTTCTCTCGGGTTCTCTCTCTCCTCCTTTCTATATATTTCCTCTCTTTTTGTTGCCCTTTTCTCTCATAATAATAATAATAATAATAATAATAATAGTAACAATAATATCCTGTATTAATTAATAATAGTAATGCCTGAAGTTAATTAACATCAGTATATATTTGGGATGTGGATGTATAAACATACATAATTTGTATTTAATAGTCTGCCATAATTTTTAGCCCCTCCTCTGGTTCCTGTACATTAGGTATCCTATGATGGCTATCAAGCAAAGAAAAAGAATGTCATTGATACTCCTATTATAACATATTTCCAAACCAATAAACCGGCATTTCCCGATGATTGACAATGATATTTAGAAGTCATTGTATTGTTATC